ACCCTGAACGAGGACGAAGCGACGTTTCAAGGGGGTACCTTTTCCATCACACGGGCGACGCCATCATGCTGGCAAAGACAAAGCTGTTCGCGCGTGAGACAGGCGAGAAGGTTTAAGTTCGGTTCCGATTGTTTTGGAGGGCCGCGATCATCAGGTCGCACCTTGACGAACATCTGGTATGTACTTGTGTACTCCCGCAACCACCGTACTAACTTACACGTCCGTCTTCAATGATTTGTTACGTTCCTTGGCAGTCTGCCAAGAAAGAACCCCGAAACCCCTAAATCCACCACTTCAATGGTCTTGAAGGGTCTAATGAATTTGTTACGTTCCTTGGCAGTCTGCTCCTTCACGACCTCCTGGAGGCCAGCGGGCTTTATTGCGTCGATTATAATGCCGACCATCATCTTCCCCTCCTCTCGGAGGACCCATTCATGGTTGTCCAGCTCGAGGGTCATCATGAGGCCCTCAAGCATCTTGCCGACTCGAGAGTCGACGTCCACGATAGTCAGGTCGAATTTAACCGAATCGCGCAGCCGAGCGCGGATCTCGTCGAGGTCAGACGGTAATAACATCGTAGCCGAGGCGCATCCACCCGACCCATTCGGCTTCCGTGACAGAGTCAGCTGGTTTGTCCAGCTCCCACATGGCTAATCGTTTCTTCGTGTAGTGGTCAATGCAGGCTGACACCGGCATCACCAAGGGCTTAGTGGTAGTCGTCTGCAATGCGGCCACCTGCTCCAGGTATTGGTTGTACTCTCTCATGAATTGACGGCGCACGGTCTTTGTCGAGCCCTTAAACTTTGGCGCCTGTGGGATGGCTGGCGCGTTGAAGACCATCCTGTCGCTGGCGCCCATGCTTTCGTCATCACGCCCATCCGCACCATAACTTGCGGCTGCCGTGCGAGCCGGCTCCGAAGCTGGCGTTGGTGTGGCACCGGCCGCAGCAGCCACCGGTTCCGCCGCAGATGGGCCGGGTCCCATCTGACTGCGCAGCGGACGCGTCGACTGGAGCTGACACCGGCGCATTCCACGTTTCGAGTCTCTACCAGCTGACAGCACTTCGAGGTTGTCGTCCACGCGGCGACTCGAACCTCTCACCGCCACGCGGGCTTCGCGATCTCACTCGCGACGCTCCTCCGGCGCGCGCTTCGATTTCTCGTTCATCGAAATCGAAGTCTTCAGATTCCACTAACGTCT